AAAAAAAAAGAAAAGAAAAGAAGGAAACAGTCCTGTAAAACAGAAGAATGACAATGAGAAAAAATTTCTAATCTGGTTTGGCTTTTCCCACTTCAGCCTGTTACTGTTTGGGTAGATGGAGACAAATCTTGATCATATAACCATTTATTCATAGAACTTCAACAGTATACAAAGTGGGTCCTTGTGGATTATCTCATTTCACTCTTGAGGTATCGATTCTTCCCTGCTTTGGCCGAAGTGGCTTAACTAGGGGGACACAGTGACTGATAAGAGAATTGGCACTGAATTTAGTTCATTTGTATACTAATATGATTATTTTTAAATTACTGTTCCTGAATCCATTCTAAGTAATTAAATTTTGAGTTGTAGAAAGAGCATTTTGTAGGAATTTAAAGTTACTGTCTAACACATAGTTTCAAAATACCTAAGGTCATTGTTTACTTTATTCTTTTTAAAATATTTTAATAAACTTGACTAATGAGTTACTTACATAACAGTGTAATCCTACATAGAGGCTAGAAGGGTAAGAATTTACTTGGCTTTCCTTCCAACTATCCAGTTCATCCTATGCAAAAATACTTGGGGGAAGCGAAAAGATTCTTTTTAACATTTAAAACTGGATATATGTTTGCATATTATAAACCGAACACTCGGGATCATCAAGAGTCAGTGAAGAAAATTTACTCCACTTTTTAATTGCTGTATTTTTTGTTAAGTCTCTAATAATTAGCTGTAGTCTTCCCATCCTTTAATAGATTAATTTCAATTTGGATATGCTTGATCAGATGATATTTTATTGATCGGTAATGACTTGTGGTTATCATTTAAATGTTTTATGTTCAGTGACATTAACAAGGAATCCACATAACATTCTGATTTCACTTAGGAAACTGTGTAGGTAAAAGCTATCAAAAAATTCTGAATAATACCTGTTTAACATGTCTGAAAATACAGACTGCATCAGATGACAACAGAATTGATCACAGAATTATTCTTTCAACATCGGTGAAGAAAAATAATCTTAAAATGATCATCAGAGGATAATATGCTAAGTTCCTCTGAGTATGAAGGAAATTTGGCATGCTGACGCTGTATATTATGTTCTTGAATTTGTCTCCAGTAAATGCGATTTCTGATGTAGAGAACTATTAATGCTTCAGATTGTTGCCAAACATAATATGAAGAACCACTTACTCAGACACCTGATCTTTAGAATGCGGCATCGTTTGTAACAATTTTAACGCTAACTAAGTACACTTTGATGAGACAGCATTTAATAAAATGCTCATTAATTTCATCATTAGCAAGGGTATGCTAAGAAGTAAGCCAGTTTCTTATGTCACGCCCAATTAGCATCCCATGCTAGTAATCCCATTAGTATTGTTGAATTCACTAATGGAAAAACTAATGGGCATGCTACCAGGGCACATTAATTGGGCACGACACCAGTTCTGGTTTTAATTATTAAACTACGATAATGAAATGTGTGTTTGTAAAATATTAAAATGTTCATATAGGGTTGAAGAAAATAAAAGAATGTGTAGAAAGATGAGATATAAGGAAAGTCAACCTACAAAGATTCAAGAACCAGAAAATAGACTTGCCAGAATGGTCATCTTTCTAGCTGATCAAGTCATCTATGAAAGTTGGGATATTGTCCACGTGCGAAGCAACCCACTCATACTCATGGGAAATTAAAAGCTGGTTTTTGGTAATATGAAATTCTGTATGTCATATGGGTTGTCATGCTCTGTGTGAGGCCTGACAGAAGACAATTAAGTGCATAGAATGGACATAATATATTGCCGAAGCTATTTTAGAGAAATATAAACAGAAATGTTTTATTAAAGATGGTATGATTAACATTGCATTTTTTGTGATATAAATATTCATCATGTTACATCAGATAATTATCTTTTTTTTTTTTTCCTTTTTAGAAACCGGTATACCCAAATTAGCAGAGTTTGGTGAGACTTTGCCAGTAACTCAAAAACATACTTCATAATATTTTATCCAATCTTATTTTTGATTTTTTAAAATTTTGATTGGTACTGGAGTAACTTATGACTAAGGAAATCAATTTTATTAACAAAGAAAGAGAAAAATTATTTTAATTTGGAAGATTTATAGTAATTTTTCTGGTTGTTTTTCTTTAATTGTGGGAGTAAACGATGGTGGTGACAAAGTTGAAATATCTTTTGCTTAGTCTTAACTGGCTCACTAACGTTAAAAAGAGTGCTGTTGTGCTAACCATGATATACTGGGCTGTAAAGTGTTAAGATGAAAGGTTTCTCTTTTACTTGTCTTTCTCTGTTTCCTTACCCTCACCTCCTTCTGGCTAATTAACCTCGATTTTTCAGATCTGCCATTTCTTAGTCTTATCAATTTAGTAACCCATTTTTAAACTATGGTATTATCACCTTAGGTTTTAGATTACAAACCAATGAGTACTACGCTTAACTGCAACACTTACATTCAGTGCATTAATAACTGACTGATTTTTTTTTAATGTGAAGCTTATTCCTTCTTCCTATTAGTAGCATGGTGAAGTTAAGAGAAAAACTAACTTGCCAGCCATTTCCCTATGTTTGGAACAATATTGTTTGAATGGTATATTACTAGTTTTAATTCTCTTTATTTATGTTTCTGCCCAAAAATGTAAAAACTAAAATGTTAGAATAGAAAATGTATTACCTTTCTGATGAGTCTAGTTACTCAGAATCCAAGTGTGCTTGTAAGATATTCTCATTCCAGAGAGAAGTTCTTTTCTGATTTGAGCACTGTGTTGGTCACAGAAGGATGTCACAGAAATGCCAGAACGATGTCAGACGTCAACTTTTTTGTGTTCTGTTTGAAACGTGGGTGTGCTTGCATCAGGATTGTGTTGACATTTGTAAATTGGTTTTTAACAAATATACAAATATATATGTATGTGTGTGTAGATGTATATATTCATCACTGATTTTTTTCCCCATTTATTCTTTCCCTTAAGGGGTCTGCAGTGGAAGTTACCACTTCTGACGACGATGGCAGACAATACAGTGATGGCAAGTGGCATGAGATAATTGCATTCAGGCATCAGGCTTCCGGCCAGATCACGCTTGACGGGCAGTACACAGGTAGGGTCTTCCTAGATGTATGTGAATGGCTCTGTTGCTATGCTGGTATTGCCATGCTTCTGTGTTATTTATATTTCTTCATCTTTTCTTTCACCTTTATCTCCATTCAGCTTCATCTAAATTGCTGTTCAATTTGCCCTTGGGGTGCTTCTAAAATGATGATGTCTTGGCAACTGTTTTCCCATCTCTGCAGGGTTCCAATAAAACAAAAATGAGAGCAAAGTCATCAGTAGCAATTTTGTAGCTTTTTCAGGTCTTCACATCCTGCGAGTGTTTTTACTTGTGTTTTACTTGTGCTGTGCTTATGTTCTCTCTTATGTTCTTCTATTATGACCTCAGTTATATGCGTTTTAGAGATGAGGAAACTGAGGATCCAAAAAGGTAAGCAGATTTACACGGTTGGTAGGCAGCATTCTGGATGCATATCCTGTCTTTGCGATTCTAAGTTTAGTGTTTTCATCCAACCCTGTCTGCCATTCTCATGTGATTGTAAAAGTTACAGTGCTTGTATGATGATGCTGCTTTTATTAATTCATTCAGAAAAATGTGAAATTTTAATGAGCACCTACTACATGCCAGGTATTGCTCTAGGAACTCTAGAAACAAAAGGGAAACTTTACACTTTAGGTGGGAGAGGAGTAGGAGACAATAAATATTGAACAAGTATCAGTTAGTGGTCTATTCTGAGAATGATAAAGCAAGGTAAGAGGGAAAGGGGTGTGTGTTTGTGTGTTTGTGTGTTGGGGAGATGTTTTGACTTTATAAAAGACTGTTAGAGAAGGCCTCTCCCATACAGTGACATCTGAGCATAGATCTCAAGGGGGAAAGAGGGCAAACCAGGCAAATATCCAACAGATGTTTCAAGCCAGGGGAACAGTAGGTGCCAGGGCCCTGAGGTGGGAGCATACCATACGTGGCATGTCAAGGACCAGGAAAGCCAGTGTGGGAAAGAGGGGTTGGAGGGGCTGGTGTTACACTGTGAAACCAGAGAGGTCACTGGGGCTGCATTACACAGGGCCTTGAGGGCTTTTACTTGAAAAGAGGGAAACCATTGGAGAATTTCGAGGGAGGGGTGATGTGATAAGGCTTCTTTCTTTAAAAAGAACACTCTGGCTGCTCTTGTGGGGATCCATTTTAAAGGGAACAAGGATGGAAGTGTTGACCTTAAACAAATACACTGCCAGTTGTTCATCCAAGATGGGTTTATTTGGGATCAGCAGAGAATTGCAATTTGAAGTCTGCAGCCGTGATGAGATGCATGCTAGTCCCCACACAGCAAGAAAAAGAGAACTCTGAGGGGAAAAGGAAGTTGGGAGGGCTGTAGTAGACAGAGAGCCCATGGCTTTTTTTCATTGGCTGAGTCCTTGCCAGGAAAGAGGAGGAGTCTTTCTTCCTATTGGGCTCTGCCATCATTGTGGGTTGTGAGAGCTCCTCCTGCTGGTCTCCCAAATCTATTTCAGTTGAAGTTTCTGTTTATTAATTTTTTACATTTCCCCCTTTTGATCAAGATCTTTCTCTAAAAGCATCACTAATCAAGAGTCAGATTCCCTGGTTTCAATGGTTTTCTTGTCCCTCAATGCCAGGAAGGACCTTTCCTGGGTGTAGTGTCTCAACGTTGGAGGGGAAGTACACAGATTGGAAACCTATTGAGATCACATTTGAGTAACAAGGAGAGGTAGGAGGGAGCAGTCTCAGACACTTTTATCTAAAGTCTGTATGTTATCAAGATCATAGACACTGGAGATCATCTGAAGCATTATGTCATTGTCAAAGGTTTGTCAGTAAACTTCCTACAGACCTGATCGAAATGTCTTCAGAAATCTGCCTCCTCAGGTGTGGTCTGCTTAAATTCTGGGAAATTTTTTCTTTCAGATCCCCAGATTTTGTGAGGTCCCCTCAAATTTGGTACTTTCTTTAGGTATGTCATGTGAATCCAAGAATCTATTCCTTGGATTTTGGCGGCACGAGGGTTGGTTAGCAATACCTGGGGCCTCTTTAATGAGGCTGTAGAAAGCTCTTCTGGAGGTGTTTTTTCCAGTAGATAAAATCTCCAGTTTGTAAGGCATGATGCTTCAGGTCCTCATCTCCTGAGAGTGCACTATGAAAAAAATATTCTACCAAAACATGGTTATTTTTAATACAGACAGTTTGGCCTTTGCAACATTGGAGTATCCCTCCCCCCCCTTTTTTCCCCCACAGCTGTAGTTCAAAAAAAGCAGGATCCAAGTGTGTTGAGTGTCCTGTGACTATTTTAAAGGGTGAGGATTTTTGAGTTCAAAAAAGTGTGAATCTGAGATTTAGGTGGACCAAAAGCAGTGTTTTGGTCCCAAGTATTCATAGGGGCTCTAGAAATTTTGGCAACTGAGTCTTAGTAATGCCATTACTGTGATCGACTTAAGCCAGAGGACGGAGGGTGGTAAACACAGTGGAAATGTTGTGAAACTGGCCAGATAGCACAGACTTGCTGAAGTACCTGGCCAGTAGAATAGGTTCCTCAGTCACTGTGAAGTCTACCTGGGTTTAAGAGTAGCCCTTGTTCTGATATCAGATGCCCTAAATATCAAACCTGGTTTGGGGCAAACTGCAATTTTTCTTGGGCAACCTTATGTCCCTTTAAGGCTAAAAGCTTTAGCAAGTCAGTGCTGTCTTCCTGTGAGGAGGCTTGAGGAGGAGATCAAAGAAGCAGATCACTCACATATGTAACAAAGTAGACCCCCTGGGAACTTTGTATCATCAAGATCAACCCTCAGGATTTACAAGAAATAAGAAGAACTCTCAGTTAAGCCCTGAGGCATTACTGTCCAGGTGGATTGTTTTTCTTCCCAAGTGAAGGGAAGAAGGTGGTGGCTAGCTTCGTCAGCTGGAATACTAAAGAATGCATAACTCAGCTGCAGTAAAGAATTTGCTTCTGGTGGAAATAGATGTTAGAACGTATGAGTGTTAGGAACAACAGAGTACCAAGGGATAATGATGTTTTTTTATTTAGGGGTCCTGGACAAACCTCCACCCTCAGCCCTTAGGTTTTCTCACAGGTAAAACAGCATCGTTATGGGAACTGGCACAAAGGGTGATGAGGCCTTGAGCCTTGTAATCTTGTATTATGGGCTTTAGATCTTGAAGGACTTCTTATAAGGAATTGATTAATTCTGGGAAGAGGTTTTGAAGGATCTGCTTGAATCTTGATGAGGGGGGGTACACTGAATTTTGCCAACATTGGTTAGAGAGTTTGCCCATAAGGAAGGTGGTAACTAATTCAATACAGACAAATGATCAGTGTTTACAAAACCAGCTCTAGGTCTATCAGAGACAGAACAAATGAAAGATGGATCATTTAACTCACCTGGCGGTCATTTTTCTGGCTACTGTCAAATTCTAGAATTATTTCCCTCTTTTGGGAGAAAGAAATTCTGGCATGATGCTTCTCTAAGAAGTCTCTAAGAAGCATAGGGGCAGAGGAACTAAGGAGAAAAAGGAGTTTCTCTCTCCAAGGGCCTAAAGGAAAGGGAGTAGGTTCAGAGATAGAAACCTCTTGAGGTTCATTAGAGATCCCACTATTTGAACTGTTTTAGTACTCAGAGGCCGGGGCTGCTTTATAGTAGTGGGGTGGAGCACTGAGTGCGTGACTCTGGTGTCAGTTAGGACTGGAAGAGATTCAGCGCCAGTCTGGAGAAATGTTTCTACGAGATGATTAAGACAGGGGTTGGGAAGGGCCCCTGTAGGACCTCAGAGACCTGTCACTGAGTAGTGGGAGGATGTTAGAAAGGTTAGTTAGAGGGCTGAAGATGCCAAAAGCCCTTAAATTTATAACAGTCTCTTTTCCAGTATCCTGGTTATTTGCAATAATAGCAGAAACGAGGAGGATTTCAGTTTCGTTTAGGAGGCTTCATTTGCTGGAATTGAAGTTAAAGAATTGTGGTGGTCTTCCTTCCAGGTGGCTCATCTAGAGTGTGAGAGAGCAGTTTTGCCAGTGTAACCAAATCTGGAGTGCACAGAGTTTTCCATTCCATCATGATCTTTTTTACTAGAAACAAAAGGTCCCAGTTCAGCCCATTAATAAGCATGGAACTAAGAGCTACTCAGGTGGAATCAACATCTGAAGGAAGGTCGGAATTTTCTTTAAAAATAATCTGAAATCATTTGTAATAGTAATCACTAGGTTCATCAGATTTTTGTGTGCAAGTTTGAATTCTGTTCCAAGGAGCAGGCTTTGGAAAAGCCCTAGGAATTGCTCACGGAAGTCCCCTAGTGCTTGCTCAAGCCTGATCATGTGACAGGCTAGAGGGCTGATCTCCTGGCTGTTATTCTAGAGACTTTTTAGGATTTTTCCAATTAGCTGTTCTCATCCAATGCTGACCTTTACCAATAAGGGTATGAACTAAGTCAGAGAAATCAAGTTGATAAGTTTGAGTGACTCTATTAAATTCCTCACCAAATCTGTGAAGATCATCAGTTACTTTTGAAAAATCCTTCTCTGTGGCTCACAGTTCAGCTTTAGTACAGAGAATATAAGAAATTAAGGGTTTAGCTTCCGAATCCTTAGAAGGCTTAAATTTTAAAGGGACAGGTACTGATAAGTTCAGAGGGCAACAGCAGGGGGAGAGAGAGACTGAGAAAAGGAGAAGTTTGCTGAGAGAATTAGTGTGGGGGAACTGTGGGTGTAGAGGAGGCAGAAGCATGTAGAAGTGTTACAGGAGAGTAGGTTCTTGTCTCAGTGCAGAAAGAATTCAGAGATGAAACCCAGCAGTCAAGAAAGCACAGTGAGGACTTACTACGTTACAGATAGTAACACTGTCAGTGCGAGAGTGAGCAGACCCAGGTGAGTGGCTGCCGAGTTTCTTTGGCAAGCTGGTTACCTAGAGTGTAAAAAGGAGTTAGAGGAATTTTCACTGGGGAGGGAGGGGCTTGGGGGGCGTATTCTCTGATTTTCATCCCGGCTCCACTTTCCTGGGGGAGGAGGGATTTCCATCCTTATTTAGTCTGGATTGGAAGTGCCATGCCATCAGTGCATGATGGGTGCTTCTAATCTGCAAGGCTAATTGTATTGTGATGAGGGCATAATGAGCAGAAGGTTACATTCAGACACCAGAGATTCCTGCCTTTTCCCACCTTTCTTTGTCTCCAGGACACTTGTCACCCCAAAATGGGTGATTTCTTACCAGTCGCGAGGTTCCTGTTTTCCTCTGTCTGCCCAAGGACCCCTGTTGTTCACAAGTGTGTGGTTTCCTGCCATTTGGCTTGTGCCCCCCTTTCTCTGGTTATATCTAACTATCTGCCTGCTCTAAAAGAAGGAAGGGCAGAAGATGGGGCCAGAGGAGTCTGGCCATGAGGAGCTGAGAGAGAGAGAGACAGGGTAGTACCAGAGGTGGAGCCTGAGACAAAGAAGGAGAGCCCAAGGCACTGGGGGCCTCTTTGTCTTTTTAATGATATGTTTGCCTTAGTTAACCTTAAAATCTTATCTTGCAGAGGGGCAATTTTAGGCTCCTGATAACATTTGGAAGCCTCAAAATACTAATCAAAATAGGCATACCATCCAAACTGGGTAAACTTTGAGCCATTGTAGTCCAGTTTAGTTTTAAGGAAATTAAATCTGGGGATTCCAAATATTCTCCATAATGGCCTTTGATAATTGCCTTAGGTTGAGTTGATCTGTTTAGTTAGAAATGTGTATTAGGAAGGACTGAAATTTTTAAGTGTAAAATTGGCCAGAGTCCTGGTGGTGGGGGTAGGGGGGGAAAGTGGGGTCCCTCAAAATACTTAGATAACTGGGGTCCATCTACAGAGTAAAAGAATAGTTTTTAAACAGCTCCAATAGTTCAATTCAAGCAGCTTGTAATGCAAACAGCCTTTCAGCTAATATCAGCCAGTTCCAAGGAAACAGCTTGGTCCTGGGGGAGCCAGGACCAAAGGCTTTTCAGTCAGTTTCCAGAGAACAACCTGTATTCCAAAGGATGGGCTGAAGGCTGAAAACCTGACACTGTTTCAGTCAAGCAGCCTGTATTCCTGAAGAAATGCACCAATGGCTTCTCAGCCAGTCTTGGTTGAAACAGTCTGATCTCAAAACCAGAATGAAATGCCCAGTACATAATACCCAGGTGCAGAACCAGGCCTTACCCAGAAAGACAAAACCCATAAGCAGACCTTGAATGAAGCCTGGAAAGCTTCAAATGCAAAGAGGATGTGAGCTCAGATCCAGGAGAAAGATGTACCTTCAAGCACCAGGGTTGATAAGAAAAGCAGCGAGCACGTGGGCTCAGTTGTGAGGACTGCTCCTGTTTGCTCACTAGCCATGGGGCATTCAGGGGTCTTCTCTGGTCCCCGAGGTCTCCACCAAAATGTTGACCTAAAACAGAGTGTCAGATGTAAAGATAGGTTGACTTGGGGTCAGCAGAGAATCACAATTCAGGGTCTATAACTGTGGCAAGCCAAATGCAAGTCCCGCATGGCAAGGAAAGGAGGTCTGTAGATAACAGACTGTCCACGGCTTTTCATTAGCTGAGTCCTTGTCAGGAGAGAAGAGTCTTCCTGCTTCGTGTTGGGTTTGCCTTCATCACAGGGTGTGAGAGTTCCCCCTTCTGGTGTCCCAACTCCATTGAACTGAGATTTCTGTTTATTAATTTGTTACAGAAGCATGGAGACCAGCTAATAAGCTTCTGCAATAATTCTAAAATATTCCAAACAAGAAATGGTGGTTTCTTGAACCAGGGAAGTAATTGTGGATATGACAAGAGATCTGAATGTGTTGTAAATGTTAAATGAAAAGGGTTTGATTGAGGTACAGCAGAAGTAGGTGAACTCACCCCTGCCGGCCAAATGTAGCTCATGCTTGTTTTTACAAAGTTGTATTGGAGACAACTACACCCGTTTGTTATGTATTTTCAGTGGCTGTTTGAGGTGATATGGTCTATCTACAAAGCCAGAAATACACATTACTTAGCTCTTTGTAGAAGAGTTGAGCATGACTGCTAGATTTGGGGCCTGAGTGCCTGAGGAACGTAACTGCATAACTAAGATGGGCAAGACAGTAGGAAAAGCAGATTGAGGGAGAGATGTCCAGGGTGCAGTTTGAACATGTGAAGTCTTAGACATCTATGAGGCATCCAAGTGGGAATATCAAGCAGACACCTGGACACAAGTCTGAGTTCAGGGAAGAGTTCCAGACTAGGGATAGAAATTGGGAGTCATCAGCCAAGGATGGAATTTAAAGCCAAGGGACCAGATGTAAGTAGGGCTAATTACAGTGGTTGAAAAAAAAAATGCCTCTCCTCTCAAAGAGTGGTGGAGTTAGATAGAAATTTTAACAGGAGATTTGCATCGTGTTACCACACAGAGACCCAGGCTCCCTCTGATCTTCGGCCATACTGGTTTGCACAGATGCCCAGCTCTCTCTTCATCCTGCCAGAGGATGCAGGGCGTCTGTGTAGGTGGAGAGAGAGATCTGAGGATGGAAGAAGTCTGGGTCATTCCAGTATCAAGCGACTGAGGAAGAACTAGTGAAAAAAAATAACCAATAAGAGGTGTCCAGTGAAGGGCTTAATCACTTGTTAAATTAGTAGAAATAGATTATCCTGCTGAAGTTGGAATTCGCATCTCCTTTTCCCTCCGTAGGTTCCTCGGCCACCCCGAATGGCAGTACTGTTATTGGAGAGAACACGGGAGTGTTTGTAGGAGGGCTGCCGCAGGGCTATACCATCCTCAGGAAGGATTCTGGTGAGTTTGGGCAAGGTACAGAACATAGACGTTGTCATCAACATTCAGAGGAGATTCAAGGTACATTATTTTAAACTATGGATAATAGTATTATTTTCTATCACATGCTGTATTTCCTTTGATCAGTATGTCAACAATTTCCTTTAGGTCTCTTCTGAAGGAACCATGTCTGACTTGCATTTATGTTCTTAGTGCTCCATTCTTGATACATAAAAGGAGTTCATTAAACTTTTGCTAAAATAAATTATACTAATTTCAAGTATGTCATTTGGGGATCAAAAGGAATAAACATTTTTTGGTGAATTTTGAAGAGGGCTGTATTTAAATCCTCAAGAGTAATTATAGTTACCTTCTCAGAAATACCCATAGAGAAGATAGGGTTTTCGTTTAGCTGCTTTAGGCTGGTGGATTAATCCCTTGAAAAACCACACACACACACACACACACACACACACACACATGGTGGATGTGGAATTGAAAGAGAGCGAGCCTTTGTCCTAGTTTTTGTCCATCAAGCACACTTCTTGGCTTGGGTACATCCAAATATCAGGAGGAAAATATACCTCAGTATCAAGTACCCCTCCTGTAGAGGCCATCTCCCCATTATAAATATATAGGTTGACATTGTCTTGTTATTGCACTTTTATTTTTAAGACTGCTGGAAGCTGAAATCCCTGTGTTAGTTCCAAAGACAATATTCTTGGTAGTCCTATAAAGCCAAGATTTTTGCATAAGCATCTGTTATTACCGGTACAATGAGTGTGAACCAGGGCTAAACATGACAGTTGTTACCACTGACCACAGCTGATGACGTGGTGCTTACATGAGTTATTAAGAGGTTTGTAGTAAATAGGCAGTGAGAGCTATTACCTGTTTCTTTGATTTTAATGGCACATTAAATTAATGGCTTGAAAAGAATTTCTCAAAACACATATTTCTTGATATCTCTCAATTCCTACAGACATAGTCCAAAAGGGTTTTGTGGGCTGTCTCAAGGATGTGTATTTTATGAAGAATTATAATCCCTCTGCTACTTGGGAGCCTCTGGTTTGGCAGAGTTCTGAAGAGCAAATCAATGTGTATAACGACTGGGAGGGGTGCCCCACTTCATTACAAGAGGGAGCCCAGTTCCTAGGAGCAGGTAAGGTTCTGAAATAGACATTGGACGTTGCTTAACTTGTATGCTGTGTCCTTGGCATAATTTCATCTCCCCTGGTCTGATTATTTTGACCGCATGTGAACCTACTATCACAGAAATACCTCGTTATGCCAAGATGCCCGTAAATATATTCTCAGTGTCTAAACAGATAATATAAATAGTAATACTCAGAGATGTATATTCATGGGTAAGATCTCTGGCAGTTTTTGGTTTACCTGTGTTAGTCTCATTCATGTCCATTTTACTTTGAATGCAGCTTTACTTAGATGTTTCGAAGAGCTTTTTTTGCCAGGTTAATCTACACAATATCTGTTTACTCCATTGTACAGACCGACAGTGTTCCTAAGAGTAAAATTTCAGCTAGGTAACAGGGTAAGTAGGTAACTAAGGAAAAGCTAGAGAATAAAACTGCCGTCATTGCCGAAGCTCCAAAGGAAACAGTCTCCCGGGCATAGCCCCCAGCTACCGTCTCTAGCAGCCACCCAGGGTGAAGGGTGGAAGGGAATGTGGCAGCTTGGCCAACGTGACTTGTTTTTCAAATAAAAGCCCATATTTTCCTCCTACATTGAAATAAGTTGCTTAGATATTAAGTTGGTTCAACTACCTTCAGAACAGAAAGCTAAACGTTATCATACTCTGTATACTTTTTCTTTACTCTTTTCTCATCACTGTCATTATTCAGATTTTCTTTGAAGTCAGTGCAACTGCTTATTATTAATACTTGCATAAAACAGTAATAGTATGAATCATATCCGTGATTTAGAGAGCAAATTGCTTCCTCTTAAAAGGCATGTCAAGTTCATTCTGCCACTTCTGTACGATTGCAGGGTCGATTTATTAACATTGATCTGCATCGTCTTTTGTGAGAGGTAACCTCAACAACGGAATATGTCCTGAGGTTGTCTGAGAACATGTTTACAAGGCTGGCGTTTTTGCTTTGCACATGCTAACATGTACATGTTCTTTTCTATAAAGGGTTCCTGGAACTTTATCCATACACGTTTCGTGGTGGAATGGACTTTGAGATTTCCCTTAAGTTCAGAACTGACCAATTGAATGGATTGCTTCTTTTCGTTTACAACAAGGATGGACCTGATTTTCTTGCTGTATGTTAATTAATTTACTTAAATTTACTTAAAATGTTAGATCCAACTTTAAAATCAGCAACCCATGTGTTAACATTATACCAAATTAGGGTTTCTTTCCAAATTCACTTTTGCTTTTTTTTCTCCCTCAAGTCACTTCTTTTACTTGCCTTTAATCGTGCAGTCAGATATCATTGTCAAAAATAAATATGGTATTAAAATGTTAATTTTTTAAAGTTATTTTAAAGAACTTATGTAGCGTCAAGTGAAAATGATGACCATCTTCAGCTCATTGTTCATATGTAGGCAAACAGGGGATCAAACACATGTCTCTGATTTTAGGCTTCTAGGATATTTTCAAATCAATGATTTTGTGCATTCCTAGATCATATAACATTAATTTTGTTGATTAGGTAAATGGAAATATATCCTTGATAGGATTGATTAAAATTTCAGCTTATTTAAAGTATTTATTTTTCCTCTTGTTTACTGTTGGCCTTCCCCACTGGAATGCAATCTCTGTGAACACAGGGACCTTGGCTGTCTTCTTTACAGTGCTAGTCTCAGTGCCTAATTCTTGGCACTTATTAAAGTACTTAGTAAATATTATTGGATGAATGAATGAATGAGTGAACATGTAAATGAATGCATGTTGCAGTGACCGTCACTAAGCATTCCTTAATCAGCTGCATGCCTCAGGTCTGTGGTGAACACAAAGCAGGTGTCATGTGGCCCTCCCTTTTAAGCAGCACATGACTATACTGGAGACTCATGCATCTTGGCTATGCCCCCTCCAGCCCTCCATCTCCCTCCATTCATTGCCTTTGGAAATGCAATAAATTTCCGCTGTGCTAAGTAATAATGTTAACTTGAAGTAAGCATTAATAAAATACATCTTAAAGAATCAAAACATTTGACAAATATATATTGATTGTCTGCTGTGTGCTGAACTTTCTTTTAGCTTCCAACACAACTGTAAAGGAAGCAGACAGACCTTTGTAGAACTTGCATTCTAGTCTTTCATGTCAAGGCCTTAGGTTTCTCCCAGGTTATCCTGTTAGCTTCAATATAAATAGCTATCTCCTGGAACTTGACTGACTCAGAATCTTTCCCTGCTAAAATCCTGAATCTCAAAATACAACCCCACATCCTTCCAGCTCTTTCATTCTCTCTCATTGAGTTCACTGATGCATTGATACCATTGGCTACTAGCCCATTTTCTGTCTAACTTATTGCTCCCTACCTTGGACACCATAATACAGCTTGTCAACCTTTTTTTTTCTTTTTCTTTTTGGCAAATACCTGACTTGTGTCTTCAATTCCACAGCCTTGGATCAATCAGTTTAGTCACCTAGCTTTTCAGTCTCAGTTACTGAACATCACAGGAGAATGAATATAGGAATGAAGACTAGTGATGCTCTGAATTTTGAGATCTCTAATTCCTTTATTCAACAGTATTCACTGTTTACAGGATCTGCTTAAAGTTTAGACATGGAGAGTGAAAGAAAAAGAATTTCTCGACCTGGAAAACATCATCACTTGAATGTCTTCAGATAGTCTCTCACTTTCACAATGAAAATAAACATAATCTCTTCAACTTCCAAATTTTCTACTTACAAACTTTGTTCTCTATGAGCCAAGCGTGGTTTCATGCTCTCCATTTCAGGGGAATAGATATATCATTACCATGTTTCCAGCCAAATTCAGTAGTTCTACCTTTGCTCCAGATTCTGTCCTGTCCTGCAGGAGCCTGTGCTGCAAATGATCCCGTCTTCTGAGGTCAAGCGTTCCCTCTCCATCGGCTCTTCTCTCTCAATGTATAAAATGGTTGAGCTTCATTCATCTTCATTTATTTTTCCTTTTGACTTTGAAACCACCTCTGCTGTACCTCCCTTCCCTTCATAGGCAATTGCATTGAAAATAATTCCTCTGGTTGTTTCTTTTTCCTTGTCACACTGAGTCCTTCATCTACTGCACACATGGCTCACACCCCTACCACATTCTACTGCAGAACAATTTTCTAAAGTTGCCAATGACCCCCACATTTTCAATCCTTATCTTATGTGATATTTCTCTGTTATCCTCTTTTTTCCCTTAAAATATTCTTCCCTGCTGACTTTCCAAAATACTAGTTTCTCTCGATTTTCGTTAAATCCTTCTGGCTTCTCCAGGTAGATCATTGTCACCCTCAAGAACTATGTCTGCTTTACCTTCCCTTTAAAACATTGATCTTGATGAAGGCTATATTCTCTTCCATTTCCTTTTTTATTCTTTTTGTACTGAGTAACCTTATTTATCTTGTCATGAACTTTGTCCATTTTACTGGTCTATCTTTATGTTCAGCTGCCTCACGACAAGTTTCTTCTGGATATTTTGCAGAGATTTCAAACTTGATATGTTTAAAATTGAATTTACCCCTCCTCCCCAACAACGACAACTTTTTTCTTTCTAATGCTTTCCACGTCGTGATGGGGGTAAAACATCCAAGCCAGAAAGAGGGTGGGGGGTCCTAGACTTACTTTTCGTCTGTCTGACACATTCACCTGTTTCCCATTCTGCTCTGTTGCTTTAAAAAATACCTCTTAGATTGAGTTTTCACTGTCATTGTCATTGTCATCTTTATTGTAATGGCTCTTCTCATTTTTTTTTTTCACAATTGTACTGATTCCTTAGTAGGTTTCTCTATTTCCAGTCCAGCTTTTAATTTCTGGGATGTATCTAGGACCAGAAGGGTGAACTTTTAGTGCAAGATATTGGTGAAAAGAATACGGGCTTTGGCATCAGACAAACAAGAGAAAGATGAACTTTTTTGCATATCACTCAAAACCCTCCAAAATTTTGCTTCTACATACCTGGCAGAACACTTTCTCTTTCCTCCATATGTATCTTTTTACCTAATTTCGTCCTTTTTTCTAAACATAATGTGCTGGTATATGTCCCGATGTCACTGAATGTGTTGATCTCCCTACTGGAGATTCTCCATGAATCTTACGTAGTTCACAAACCTTACTTCAAACCTTTCCCAATTCCCAGTGAACAAAGGGTACATCCTTTCTTTGTTCACATGGTACCTCATCCCCATCTTGTTTGTAATATTACCCCATATGTTTGTCTCTGCTATTAAGACTGTGATTCTTGATAACAGCTTATAATTATAGCAGCAGGTTCATGAAACATAGTAAGGGACTCTGTTGAATGAAAGGATTTTAAAAAATTACTGTTTACCTGATATACTTCACAAAGATGATCTTTACGTAGAAAAGTAATCATTTTTATCTGGCATTACCTAATTTGTTTCATTGACATGATCTTAAATTTTTAAGTATTCCTATGGCCACCAATTTGACTTGTAACAAAATAAGAACAGAGTAGGTAAAATAGTGATTTAGTAGAGTTTTGAAGAAAACCATATGGAGGCATTTCCTTGACCATGAAAATGTGGGTAAAATATGTTCATATTAGAAAAGAATCTGAAAGAATAGACATAGAAGCAGTTATGTGAGTTAGAGATTTACAAAAATAAAACTGAAATATTGAATCAAAACACATCTTACAAATTTGAAATTGAGTTCACCAACCAGTTAAAATAAGCTTAATCAGGCTTGACATTTCATTTTCCTATTGGCTTGTCATATTTTTCCCCCAGATTAAATTGATATATGAAGTAGTATTTTCTCATTTTCTAAAAATTCAAATAAAAATAGAGTCATAGTTTAAACTGTTCTGTTCTCTTCTCGTTCAGTCACTTACACTAGGGTTTAATCTTTTACCTATCTTGCATCAAAAAGAAAAAAAAAAGTTTTTGCCTGTATAATATTGTACTACATTGTATAATCGTTACTGGGTATAAATTTGTTTGACTCAATACAACATTCTTGATGTCAATTATAAGCTTACAAAGTACTTCATTATACGTTACTCCACGTCTGCTTAGAATAAAGTGGGACATTTTTATAGAGTGCTTTCAGGGAAATTTCTTGCTTTTCTTCAAGAAGTTGACCTTCTGCTCTCTCTCAAACTGCCGTTCTGCAGTCTTTTTATATACCTATTTTCTTTTTAATATGAAATACAGATGGAACTGAAGAGTAGAATATTGAGCATCCGGTTAAATACCAGTCTTACCTTTGCACAAGTACATCTGTGGCTGGGGCTGTCCTATTGTGATGGAAAGTGGAACAAAGTGATGATTAAAAGAAAAGGTTCTGTCATATCAGCGAGCATGAATGAGCTGATGGAGCATGTGTTAGAGCCCAGAGCCCCGCCACTGATGGTGAATTCCCCGGTCTATGTGGGAGGAACCCCACAGGAGCTGCAGGACTCTTACCAACACCTGCATCTGGAAGAAGGTAAACTCCATCCAGAGGAACTCCCAAATCAGTGCAACCCTGGTCCTACCAGGTTTTGGTGGTTCTGTGTGTCAAGACAAAGCAGTAGAATCTGGCTGAAATCAACACCTACCTACCCCTTTTGGGGGGAAGAATTTTAAGCTCTAAAAAAAAGTCACAAATCACTTCTTCAGATAGTTTTATATGTTGCTTGAAGAATATTCTCTCATATCTATTTACAATCAGCATTTATTCTAACATTCTTCAGCAAGTATAATTGAAATATATACATATGTAAACATACACACATATATAAATGTCTTCATATGTTTTTCTCGAAAACACATGGTTCTGATTCTTTTAAATGCTGATCATTATCTGTACTTACAGATTAAAAAATAAATTAGGTTGGTGTGCACAACCAGGAAAAATGGGCTTAAATTCCCTGGGTTTTTTCCCTGATGTAAATGCTAATTGTCTCCATGCCTGTCAGTGCAGCTCTCATGCAGCAAAGCACATGAAAGGGTGGGTTTACTTGAATTTCAAACATACTTGTGAAAAACCTGTACGTCATTTATTATGTATTAATAACCAACAAGGAAAGGAAAAGGGCGTGAGTATATGACTTACAACTAAAGCGAGCCTTTAACACATTTAGTGAGTTTGAACACAATCAGAGCAATAATTTTAAAAGGCTAACAATGAGTGCATACTGTGTGACGGGCATGGTTCTGAGAGCCTAACGCGAGAATAAGTGGATCAGTTCTTCATAACAAGCCCAGGAGGGAGGTATTATTATCAGTATCCCCATTTTACAGATGAGGAAACCGGAGGGCAGGGAGGAACGTAACTTGCCCAAGGTCAATGGCTGGTAAGGAGATAACCAGCCTACCTGTCCTAGGCGGCCTGGTGTCAAATCGCACTCTCCCAATTATAGTCAAGGGTTCTCTCTCATGGACGCTGGTTGGTGTCCCTTCTATATAAAGTGGGGAAAGCACAGAAACTTCTCGCTTGTGACCAAGCAGCTCCTGTGTAGAGAATGCTCTCTATATATTTCAAAGTCTGTGCACCCTGAATGGTTAAAATTTCCACGAAGCAGTCTTTGCCTATTTGGTAAGTACATAAAGATTTAAATGCCTTTGAATGGAAAATATATGGCAAGCTCTAAGGAGACTTTTAGAAGGGTACTAGTAAGGAGTTAATGAATATCTGGGGTGTAAGACAGTAATGACATTTTCAAGGCACTTAAGATGTAACAGCAGCTGAAAATATTACATTCATATAAGGGCTTCTTCTGATTTTCAGGTTTCTGAGGTTAGAAATAACTTGAAAAACTATATGAGTAAAATTACTTGATTCTGTTTACATTTAGGAAAAATCTCCTGCATGTTGAACATTATACTTTCAAAATACACCAAAACCCATTAATTACGATGGTCCTAGAGACATGGCTAAAATTGGAATTGTAAGATGAAAATGATAGAAGTTTGAAACATCAACATATACCCTAGGGGAATAACTTAATCTACACTATGACTAAACCTATGATACTGGAAGATATTTTATTTATAGATAGTATTAAATTTTTATCATTGCAGTATCATCAATATCAATGGTTCTCAAACCACTGATAAAATATTGAAGTATAGTAGCTGGAACATAATAAGAGCGCAATAAAATTAGCATTATTATTATTACTATTCAGAATACACTGGTATTGCCTGGAAAGGCCATTAAAAATGCAGATTTTATGGCTTTATCTCCTAAGATTCTGACTCAGTTGCTATGAGTAGTACTGCTTTATATAAGTAACTGCATGTTTTATGCAGTGATCAGGAGAATATTCACAATATAGAGGCGCTGGATGCCTATAGTAAATGGAAACTAAAATTAATCACGTTCACTTACTGTAATTTTTTCAGTCACCTATCACCAATCATAAAAATCTTTCTTTGCTTCTCAATGAGCACCTTTTTCCAAAGGCTCTATTTTGTGGTCATATTAGTGCTGTTTTTAATATCCAGTATTTTTATAATCTTCCTTTAAATCAAATGCAGATTAATTTGCCTCTGTGTTTTGGAGATGCTGGGCATCTCCAAATTGGCTGAAGATGTAGCACCCTCCGATCGTGGGCATTTATCTTAGAACTAACACTTGGGACGGTTACTCACCTCTAGGTTGGGAGTGAGTGGGCCATGGCATATGGTATCCCAGTCTGTGTTCTGTCCAGAGCCCTGAGCAGAGAGGTCAGGAGTGGGGCTGAAATCCAGCCATCCTGTGAGCCCAAGTGCCCCTGTGTTGAACTGCTTCCCCGAGAAGGGCTACTGGTCTCTGATTTGTCAACGCAGAGTCTAGACCACCTGCTGTTCTTCAGAGGCCTGGGATAGGACAGACGCGGGGAGTCTCTTGATTCTCACAAAGACAGGGAAGCAAGGACAGGCGGCACCTCCCTCTTCCCACAGACAGCCTTTCCCCTCTTCTTATCCTCGCACCCATCCATCAGAGGTAGTTGGGGAGTGTTTCCTGTGAGTTTGAATGTTGGGAACTGTTTCCAGTAGGAGTGTTTCTGGCGGTGCAGAGTTGGAAGAATGGTGCAGACTTTATTTGACAAAACCCTCTGACCCCTCTAAGGCTAGCACAGTGAGAGTCCTACCCTGGAGCCCAGGCATCTGCACCCCGAGGCCCAAGAGGCCCGAGGCCCTCTTCCTAAGAAGAGTTACTGCTCTGACCCCTCATCCTATAACTCTCTGGATCTTTTCTCTATCTCTAGAGTGAAGGAAGGCTGTCCTGGTGGCCTTTCCCCAGTTCCACCTTGTGAATTTATTTTTAAAACATTTCTTTTAAAAAAATTGTTGTAACATTTTTAATTGTAGTGAAACATACATAATGTATAATTTACCATCTTGACCACTTTTAAGTGTACAGTTCAGGCATGTGGTACAGTCACAGTTTTGGAGCAACCATCACCACCATCCGTCTCTAGAACTCTTCTCATCCTGCGAAACTGAAATTCTGTGCCCCTTGAACAGTAACAGGGCATTTCTTATCACGGCCCAGAGATGTTTGCCAAAGCTGCCTTTCCACTGTTCATGTTTTATTGGGAGGGAAGCTAGGGGACAGAGACGTTAGGTGACTCAGCTGTCTGCCATCAGAAAATTACTACTGGTAAAGAAATCAGAATTCTTAGCTTCTGAATTTTCAAGCAGATGCCTTTATATTGAGCTTCATTGCCTCCAGTTCAATTCACCCAACTTATTGAGTGTCTGCTGTGTGTTGAAGATAGACTAGCAGTATTGATCAGCTGAGCCTAAAGGAACTTGAATAATAGCAAAGGCATTTAAAAGGAAATAGGCTGCAACTCAATGTGTTAGAAGACATAATAACACATCATATAAATGCTGAAGAGAACAATACAGTCATTGTTACTATTAACTTAGTTTACTGTTAAGCATTGCATTATATTTTATTTCCATTTCCTGCTGAAGTGCTTTAATCTGGAAAAGAACTAATCGTGTGTTTGGAGCTTTTCAAACTCGACCATATTTTGTTTAAGAAAGAGAGTGCGTGTGCTTCAGCAATCTCAAACTCCGTCGTCTGTTTGTCTCTTCTTTTACAATTTTGTACAGTGTTCTGAGCAGAGTACTGCCAAACCTCGCTGAACTGATCTCTGTTTACACAAAAGAGCGTGTCATTCAAAGCCAAAGCCACGGCAGTTCCCTGACAGAAGACCAGTGCATTCTCCAAATTTGTCTCCTCCACATTCTCTGTTAAACCCCGCAGAACCGAATGCACAGTGGTCATTCTAAAGCCAAGTGAGCAGAATACACATTCCGTGAAACCTCCAGTGTTGCTATGGCCAAAGCTGAACTTAGTCCCCATCACATGAATGTGGACCTAAAACTGGTGACCGTTTTACATAGTCTCCGTGAAAATGGTAGCTCGCAGTGTTAGGTCCTCGGCACCCTAATTGAACTGGGACTTTGTTCTGTATCTCTGCAATGATTATTATGATTTTTATTGAAATATCTCAGGATTCTAGTACATTTGGAACTATATTCTCCCTTCTACTATTCTGCATAATGACCTCAAAGTGTATTTCTTTTTCCCCAATGAGCTTGTTGAATAATCATGCCAATTCAAAAATTATTTTTTTGGTACTTTACTGCTGACTTTCACAAGTGACTTAATTTTCCAGGAGTGAGGAACATGTGGGTACTTGCTTACCCTAATGTGTAATTGCCAAAATTTTAATTCATGAAAAGAAACGGAATGAAAAACAGGTGTCATTAAAGAGGTATAATAAATACTTTTCCATTGAATCTAATTCAGTTGAATTATAATTATCAGCCTGTATATTTTTTCAAAATAACATAAATACAAATATTTCCTGTGACAACTTAGCCTGATAAGAAACAGGGGGAGGCATGAAGGATTTCCCAGACAAGACTTGAAAGTTTAAACACTGTGTCTGAAGCACCCCCACCCCCTACAACTTCATCAGAACGTAGGACTGCAGAGGACAAAAATGATTGGTAATTAATGACTCAAGCCCTTTATGTGATACTAATCCCTTACTATTTGCTAGGTTTCGGTGGTTGCATGAAGGATGTTAAATTTGCACGGGGCGCTGTCGTTAACTTGGCATCTGTGTCCAGCAGTGCTGTCAGAGTCAATCTGGACGGATGCCTATCAACTGACAGCGCTGTTAACTGCAGGGGAAATGACTCCATCCTGGTTTACCGGGGAAAAGAGCGGAGTGTCGACGAGAGTGGCCTCCAGCCTTTCACAGGTAATGTGAAGGTGCTCTAAGTTAAATGTTCCATGTCCCCTACCCATCCCCCTTCCCTCCCCGCCACCCCGCTAGTCTACAGGAGTCATATTTTAACCTGCCCACTTCTTATTTCCATTGAAGAATACCTGTATCGAGTAATAGCCTCGCACGAAGGAGGTTCAGTGTCTAGTGACTGGCGTCGGGGACGGACAGCAGCAGCAGGTAAATAGTATTCATCTTAAAATGTGTGTGTGTGCACAAATGCATATGCTTGTGCATGTGCAGAAAAGGAAAGACTACTACCCTGGAGCAAGGAGTAGGTTTGTAATCTTGTGACAGAGCATGCCTGGGTTTGCAGAGGCATCTGTCATTGGTGAAAATGCTTTTGATTTTTCAAGTATTTAGGAAGTATCTGTTCAGGCTTGATTCTGTCCTCTTCAGATACAATAGGAATTTAGTTCAGGTTGTCTTAAAGATGCAATATCTACTGTAATTTATCTAAGAGTAGGAAGCCTTTACTGACTGCCTAGACTCCTAGAAGCTGAAGTCAGGATTGCCCTTAGGTGGGGGTGGCAGCCTCTTGCCTCTCTGGTGAGAGTGCATCTGAAACCTGCACTCCAGTTGGAAGCAGCTGTGTCTTTTATCACTTCATGACAGATGTTTGCCATGGTGTGAACTATTAGGATCTTAGAATGACTCTCCCAGGATAGAAATTGCTGAGTGGTCTAATTTTTTTTTCTTGAATGGGAGGGGAGACAACTAGGAAACAGACTACATCAGATCAGATAACGGATTTGTAAGTGCTTTGTACTTTTGACAGGACCACAGAATCTCTCCACGTAGTACCATCACGCAGAGGCATTCCTTATGAAAAGTTTTGCGAACCAGTAGCCTTCCACCATTTGGGATCAGCCATTTGTCAGCAAGACAAATGCATTTCCATATGGTTGACACTCAGGCCTCCTGAAGACAGTTCATCTTTAGCAAGTCACAGTTTGTCTAAAGCTGTGTTTTTTTTTTATCAAGATATTTTCTCATCCTAATTATCAACAACGGGTTACTAACCTAGGCATATTTGAGGAATTTTTTTTAATCTAAAAGATAATTAAACACTGAGATGGGCTACTATTAATTATTTTCAAAGCTCTCTGTCTGCAGATTGTCCAGAAGAGGACAACTTGACAGTTTTCTAGGATGATTTAAATCATCATCTATTTATAGGCAAGACAATGAACTGAGTGATCCTTTAAAATCCTTTTCAACTTTAGAGCTTGGAAAAAGCTCTGATGTAAAATATTCCTTTGTTACTAGCATGTCTTCTGCCCCTGTTTCTTACTTCTCTACTTTATTATCAGATATACTATAAAGCCTGCTTCCAGGCTAATTGAGCAACATAAATAGATGAAATGCATCGCTTACTTAGCTTGATTGCCCCCATTTTTTTAAACAAAGGGGGTTTATTTAGTTTATTTAACTGTACAGTTTATTTTTAGGGGGGTAGTTAGGCTTATTTATGTATTTATTCATGTATTTATTTTTAATGGAGACACTGGGGATTGAACCCAGGATCTCATGCATGGTAAGCATGCACTGTAACCCTGAGCTATACCCACCCCAGATTGCCCCCATTTTGAGTACCACTGAGAAAGTATGCAAATAGAGCTCTGAATTTATAGCAATGGTCTGACCACAAATTCTCCTGCCATAAATTCATATTTATAATCTGACCACAACACTGAGCAGCTACATGCTCCCAAGGGTTGGAGAATAATTGCACTATTTAATTATTTTTGAGTCAGTTTTGCTCTGTCCCTTATGAGAAGACCATCTGTTAGACAGTACTGTCCTCTGCCCTGCACCACATTTCAGAACTAATAAAATCAACATCACTCCCAATGTCCCATTACTTGCAACTTGATTGTGTGGCCAGTGTGTTTCCTATCGGTGCCCATGGTGTTTTACCTGCTCAGACAGTGGTTCTCCACCTCTGTGCTTCCTCCCATCCTTTATGTTCACTTTGTTTCCCTTGAAGCTGTCCTGTTTTATTGGCCTGAGCAGTAAAGTCAGAGCAAGAGGATATTTGATGGGGGAAAACCAGAGTGACCCTCCATCGACAGGGCTCAGGAGTCCAGGAGCAGTCAGAGCCCGCCTCTCATCCATCATCCTGCCAGGGAGTTCCCTGAGCTTTTTCTCAGTATCTCCAGCGCAGTCAGCTGTGATGAAGTTGTTACTGATCAGAACCATAGAAATAGCTAATAAATAATTAGAGGTTATGGATTTCCAAAATTAGGGGACTCGGCTTACAAGTGAGGTTTTGCATTCCCTTTAAACTTCCTCATTTTGTGTTCTTATTATGTGATATTCCAATGAAAATGTCTCTGAAAATGATTTTGTAGAATCTCAAGGGCACCAGTTCCTCTACCCAGCAAAATACAGTTAGGGATGTATCCGGTATATCATATCTGGTAGAACTTTGCTTTTTTAAAAAATTAATTTGAGAAACAATTGAATTTGGAAAATGGGATCAGACCTTCATGTGCAATGCAATCACATTTGTGGTATTTTTTGGCTAATACATTGAAGATATAAAAGTGTCAAACCACTATGTATAATAACAGTCTAATTATCTTGCTTCCAAGGGGTACATCATTAGGTTGTTTGAACTTGTTATCTGCCCACCATCCACCTCCTTCTTTATGAGTGATGTTTAAAACATGTCGGATACATTAAATGTTTTTGGAAAACCTGGACTAGACCTGAAAGAACGTCATGTCGATGGAGTTTTGATGGCTTTGAAATATCGCTTAAACTGAATGGCTCAAGATGTGCAGTCATATTAAATCAATGCTGGAAAGTTACAACTCTAATAAATTGTATTTATGCTAATGGTTGAGTCTGATTTACTGCTGCTGTTAAAAGTGAGAAATAGGGGCAGGAGTCTTCTCAGAACTGCCATTTTCCCTGTTTCTCTTTTATTCTTTCACAGCCCCACAAAGTGTGCCAACTCCCTCAAGAGTCCGCAGCATAAACGGATATAGCATCGAGGTGACCTGGGATGAACCTGCCATGGCCAGAGGTGTCATTGAGAAGTACGTTCTGAGAGCCTACAGCGAGGAGGATCCCCGGGAGCCCCGCGTGCCCTCCGCCAGCTCCGAGTCTGCCAATCCCAGCACCTTCACAGGTAACGGTGATGCCTTAAGGGAGCAGAACTTAGTAATTTTCTTTTTGTTTTTGACTTGAAATAAAAACACTCTTCAAAGCTTTTTCCCCAATACAATAAACATTCCTGTATGTTGACTGATTAAAGAACAAGAGCTGTCTCTAATCATATGGACGCCTCCGTCCACCTAGGATGAAGAAGAGAATTATTTGTTTATGGGCTCTTATGGAGAGTTTTATTATGGGGATGATATTCTCTCTGCCCCCAAAAGAGCAGGTCACAGGGGGCTCTCATCCTTAATCGGATCCTCATACATACAGATAAACCTTTTAGAGATCCTGTGTGTACATACAGGACTGGCCCCCTATTTCACCATGCAAAAAATGTACTCTTTGGGGCTAGCCCAGGTTCACAGCACCATTATTTATTGTAAAATTGTTGATTAAACCTGATTATGTCAAGGTAGAGGAGGATTAAAGTGCCAGCAGTCTGACTGGCAAACCAGGGAATCAATTCTGCACAGTGCAGCACACATGCTGGGCGAACCGTGTGGGATACACTCACGCACAGGTCCTGTTCTTGAATTTGTGCACGTGTAGCAAGACAGCGGTTTTCAGCCTCATGAAATGTTAAAGCCCATTTAAATGGAAAGTCAAGTTTAAGCCTTTGGCCAGAAAAAGTGTAATGCATCAACACATTTAATAGAAAAAAATTGTTTTCCTCCGTCAGATACTTTTATAACTTGAAAAATCATATGGATTTTAGAGCAGCCTTAATTGTCTTTCCAACACCTCTATTGTCAACCCCCTCAGCTTTTACTTCCTTTTTTAGATTCCTTAGAATCTGCAGCCCAAAGATACAACCAGCTTAAAAAAAAAACAAACCCTGATATGTTTCAAGTCCTTCATTCCCTATTTTACCCACGCAATATAAACCCAATCTGATTTCCCCAGGATGCACATGGCAGCTAAGTGGGCTGGAAAACACTAAGCAGTTTGTCACTAAAAATTCTCCCCATTTTCAGATGGACAATCAGTAATGACACCAGTTCTACCGTGTTTCTGTAGTAAGTTCCTTCTCCCTTTCTCCTCATTAAATATTTTTTATTTTTCCAAACTATCTAAAGTCTAACGTGCTGTCCTTATTCTACTCAGCAGATGGTCCTCTATATTAGATCATCTCAGACACCAAAACAAGCAAACAAAACCTCCAGAATCTATCAGAGAATTTCTGTCACTTTCTTACTACCAAATATATGCATTAATTGCATTTTTTAACCAATACAGTTGTTTTTAGGGGTTAAGTGAATTAATGAATACTAAAATATTTTAAAATGTTTTTGGCATATAATAGGCATTTGCCATGGTTCTTATTTTCATTTCTGTTTTTCACTTTTCTCTCCTTTTTTTCTTCCTGTTTTTACAGAGCTTCCCTTATCCTATCAAAAATAAAATCTTTAAAAGTCCTCTGGATCCCAACTCTTCCTGTCTTTTCAGAGATGTTACTGGTGGTCTCTCTTCCTCTCACTTACATTTTTCACCTCTGTCTCCCCGAGTAGTTCATGAGGTGTGGTCCTAGGACCTGCACCCACAGCCTCACCTGGGACCTCCTAATTAATGCAGGTTCTCCAGCCTGCCCTCACCTGCTGAATCAGAAGCTGTGGGGCGGAGCTCAGTTATCCCTGTTTTAACAAGCCCTCTTCATGTGATGCCGGTGCCTACCCAAATTTAAGAGCCACTGCCCAGCTGGATTCTGCCCAAGATCACTCAAACTCTGTCAAGTGCCATTGTTAAACACGAACAAACCCAAGCCAATTATAACAGTCTTTTTTTGTCTAACATTCTTTCCGGCTGTTGGTTCCTCTCTCCCCTTCCCAGGCTTATTTCTACCAAGAAGCACCTATGGTGTTGTCCCCTTTCTTCATTGGGTCTGATTTCCGCTCTCTTGCCTTGCCGAGAACACCAGCGTCCATGTTTAAGTATCCAAAGAGCACTTTGTAATCCTGGTGTCCCTGCTCGAAAGCAGTGGGGTTCCTCACCATTTCTCAGTATATTTTACTTCTCTGACTCTTCTGGTTCTCGCTCCTCTTTTCTGTGTCCTTTGCCCGCTCCTTCTGAAGCTTGACTGCCTTTCGGAGAACCTTAGGGTCTAGACCCAGGACCTTTTGCCTCTTTCTATTTTCCTGCAGCCTTGCTCCAGAAAGCTCATCAGTTCCCACCACATTCAGTACCATGCACACACTGTTGACTCCTAAATACACATCCTGCCCAGACTTGCAAATGTGTGTATCCAACAGGAATTTGGAAAAGTTGACATTTCTAGTACACCAATAGACATCAAATAACCTCTCAACTTAACCATTTTCAAACCTGAACTCCTGCCCCTCCTGCCTTCCCACTGTCAATAAATGACACGTTCAGCCACTCAGTTAATCAAGTATAAGATTTTTTCTCACCTTTTCATATTTCAAACCTCATATATCCATGTTTATTCATCCATTTTCCAAACTACGTGTTAAATTCATCTCTCTCTTCCCTTATCTACTGTTCAAGATGAACCACTGCAGTCTTCCCTGCACAGCTGTGACACTCTTCTTTTTCATTACCCCCATCATGAATCCATCCCACAGAGCAATTAGAGAGTCTCCAACTTTTGCTCTTACAATCAGTAGGATTTTTTTAAGTCTGCATGTAAATCTTTGGAGGAAGGCCTGACAGTGATAGTAGGATAAATCCCTTGAAATGGATCAGCTAGGTCAAAGGCTCTTAAAGTCATTATACAGTCTTGGACTTTGAAGTCAAGTAGACATGGATACAGACCTCTGCTACGAACCTTCCGTGTGCCTTTGGGGAAATTATGTATCCTCCTGGATCTTTCGTTAGTGTCTTCATCTTTAAAATAGGAGAATAATAGTTACTTCAGAAGAATATTAGAAGTATTAAGTGAGATGATATTCTAATACTTTTCAGCTGGGTAACCTTGGACAAATTAATTAACATCCCTGTGCCTCTGATTCCCTATAAATAAAATGAGAATGAAATAACTACCCATCTCATAGGATAGCTGTGAGGATAAAGTGAATCCATGTGTATGTAGAGCAGCAGTTGACTCATGGATTGCACTGTATAAATGTTAGCTATGAGATGTTTTGAAAGCATGTAGCACAATGCTTAACATACGGTAATTTCTCAACAAACTATAGTTATTTTTATGGTGCCAAATACATGCCCAAAAGGCTGTACAAAATGTAATCCCACTAGCAAGCAGAATGCAAAATTGCATATTTCATTTCATCCTAGTGACAAGTTTTACATTTAAAAGAAATTTTGTGGATTTTTGAAGTATATCAGTATATTGCTTTAATTTGGCTTATTTGACTACTGGAGACATTAGATATTCTTATTGTTTACTGGTAATTTGTACTTCTTTTATGACATACCTAGCATGTTCCATCATCAGTTCTTTTACTGGAAGATTCACATTTTTTGTCATTGATTTAAAATATCTCTTTACATATGAAGAATATTATACTTACATTAGACTAATGTGCTGCAACATCCTGGTTTCTCACTTGTCTTTTATTCTGATTTGCATTTTATGTGCAGATTTTAAAGAATATTTTCTGTTGTTAATATAACAGCTTAAAAAATTTGTTAGTTTTCTGTGGGTAATTTGGGGGGAAAAAAAGCATACTCTCCATTCAGGGTAGACTAAAACTTGCTTATATTAGACATACCATATTGATAATATATATAATGCACATTCTCTTAATTAGTAATTTGAAATTTGCGGTATAATCAAACCAGAAACTGGGGTGCAGAGAGGCTTTTCAACTTACACCAGCTTTGCCCAAGACTTGGAAGGATATCTTGCTTAGAAGAGATTGAAAATCAGTACAGTAAAGTATTGGATATTACTAGAGGTTATTTCAAGCATGTGGGTGGTGTACAGAGAGAAGAAAATTAGAGAACCACTGACCAATTGTTATTTATTTTTATGTACCCAATCTGTTAAAAAAAAATAAGGGAAATTCTCAATTATTGCAATTTTGTCAATTTCTTGGATTGTCAATTGTCAGTTTCTTTGGAAATTGCTTTTTTGTTTGTATTTTTCTACTCATTTTACATTCATTATAATATTTTAACCTTTACAGTCACATTGCTTTAAGCATATCTCTGTAAATAGAATCTAGTTTGATTCAACTTAAAAATCTCTATATTTTAGTAGGGGCCGTAACTCACTCACATTTGCTTATATAATCTATACACTTGTGCTTATTTCTGCGATCATATTTCATGCTTTCCAGTTTGTTCTTTTTTTTTTGCTATTCTTTTATTTCTCTTCTTGCCTGCATGGACTATGAATTCTTTAACTTTCTTTCCCTCATGGGATTTTAAAGATGTATCTGCTGCTCACAGTTGTGAACTGAACAGACAAGGACATACATAGGAGAGAATCTTTAAGATTATGGAGAACTCTGGCATTGCCAGGTGGACTGTTATTGTGCAGAATCAAGATTTTGAGAGAGAGGAATATGACTCGAGAGACACCAAACCCAGGCTGAATAGTCAAAGTCAGAGAATTTCACAGTAAAGATTAAAGAGTATTAGGAAGTAAGGGACGGGGAGGGGGGTGGGGGGAGGTGAAAGTAGAGAACCAGGAACCTGGATCTGGTGGGGATGTTAGAATGTGGAAATGGGTTGCTGGCAGCTGCTTTGCCAGTGTGTTGAGATAACAAGTTACCGACAGAGAGGAAAATAGATAAAGTAAATTGTGAGTAGTTTTGCTATTGATCTTGAAAGTAATCCCCCGTTAGCATTTCTGAGGTACCTTTGTTGAGATTTTAATGTTTAATTTTTTGGTTGTTAAGAGTGGCATTTATTTGAGTAAAACAATGCTGATACTGGATGCACACAGCAATTTAGCTTTATTGGTTCACACAGGGTCCTTAACAATTAAGTTATCATAAAATGTGTTGGTTTCCTTTCATAACTTTTATTCCTGTTATATAGCAAGCTCTT